GTGCAGTTTATTTCCCAAGCGCCATGTCTGTGTCAGCCCTGTGAACTTTACCAAGTACTCACACCTTTCTCAGGCGTTTGGTGCTCTCTGGCCTTCAGAGAGACCGATGACGAGACACCTGACAGATGACCCTGTGACCAGGGTGACAGCTGGGAACAGATCTGAGCTGCTTTTACTGCGTTGTTACAAACGTCCAGATGGAAAACATGGTGGTTTTTTTTCTATGTTTTTCCATTCTTATAGCTTTATTTGGAAACAGATCAAATAATTACTAGTGCTGTGTAATGTAAAATGTATATATCAGCTTATCTTGGAGTAACTGTTCTTTGCCAGCAGATTGTTACTGACGGGTGTCTTCCAGGTACTCACACTTTAGAGCTGAAATGCAAGCGGCAAGCTGCTTTGTGGTTTTCTTCATTTTCGGTTTTCAGTTTATAGAAAAACATCAAGAAAGCTCTAGATGGTTCTCTGGCTTTATGAGAGAAATAAAAGCATTTGGCAGACTGCTTGTTTTGCCTGAGTACTTAATGAAAACATATTCATAGTTGTCAATGCTGTCGGTTTTCAGTTCGTTGCTACCCTGCCTGATGAAATTCGTCCTGGACCCGATTTCCATGGACTTCCATGGGAACCTGTTATTATCACTGCCTTAGTGGGAATTGCCACGCTTGCTATAATTTTCTGGAGAACCTGCCTTTCAGTGAGTATACTTCATGCTTGCAAGCCTGCTGTGGTATTTCACTTACTGAGTGGTCTTTTGTATGGTTAAACTGTGCCAGCATTACTGCGGTCAAAGCAGTATGTAGTTTTTCGTGTTTTTACTTTTTCCATTTAGAGCATTAATGTGAACTAAGTGCTGGGCTTAATAGCTAAAGTAAGTTGCAATTTTCTTCAAGCTAAGAAGTGTTTCCTTTAAGCTATTAATTGAAAATTTCTTAGTAAGAGCATGTTTTGAAAGCAAAATAGGTGAGTATGATGTAAATAAAGAAGACCAAGGAAAGGGTCAGCATGCATATCTTTGACATGAGAAGCCTTCCGTGTGCTTGAGCCTGTCGTTGACTGCCTCCAAAACAAGCAGTTAATCCTCCTCCTTTCATATTGTCCAGCTGCTTGCAGGCACTGCATTTAGAAACCTGAAAACCTGATCTTAATTCTCACTGGAGAGCTTCTTCCCCAGTCTTCTCCTCCTCATTCTGCATTTGTCCTCCTCTTTCCTACATGGATAATTTTCTGTGCAAGAAAAGATTCACCACCAGCTCTCCAGTATAGAGTGCATCTCCTTGGGAACTGATAGATGAAAATCAAATAGGACAGTTTATTTCACAGCTGTCCAGATCAGTGATGATATGCTCTGGAAGTCTGTGGAATACTTTATCTTTGCTTGACAAAAATAAGTTAAAACTAAATATTATCTGTAACAATATTGGTAGTTTTTTCTTTGCTTAGTTTTGATATTGAATACACTAGGTCAGTTTCAAATGCAAAGTAGTGTTAATGTAACAGCATAAAAAGAAAACTTCTGAAATCCTTCTTTAATAGTGTTAATTTTGAAATGAGCAACTGTCATGAAAACATACATTGCTTTATAAGGATCAGAACTAGGATGCAAGTGGGTTTTGTGTTTTCAAGTTCATGACTGTTTCATGCAAAATGGCCTCATTTTCTTTGCAAATTGGATGTGGGCAGTTACTGCTATCCTTTTAGTGACTGAGTAAACAGACGTTTAGTAAGGACAGGGCATAACCTAGAAGCTTTTATTAGAAAACAGCTTAAGCTTGTTTGTAGTGTTATTCAACACTTGTTGGCAGTGATAGATGTGTTTTCCATATGCTTCTTTAGTCTTTGTATAAGTGGTGACTTTTTGGTTTAGGGAAAATTTTTCACCACTTTTTATCACTAATTTTTTTTTTTTTGTCTCTTCTGTAGGTAAAGAGTAGAATATATCAAGGTAAGTTTCTCTCTGCTTTTCAGTGTACTTGATGCTTAGGCATGTAAAAGTTTTGAAAATTGTTTCAGAGGACCAAGTATTCATCTTCACTCTCTTTCAAGGAGAATGCTAAATCTAAGATTATAGTGTAAGCTAGGCCAGTAGATGGTACTTACTTGAATCTGACAATTTCAATTTTGCTTTTGCTAATGCTTTGGTTAGGAGAAACAGTACAGCTCACACCTGCAAATTAAAGGGCAAGGAAAAACTCCTGTCTTGTTCAACATAAATGTGATCTGTTGGTTTACTGGTACGGTGGTAGTGGGGCAGCGTTTGTTTTGGTTTTCTGACTAGCAGTGGATCTACTTTTGCTTGTTGCTTCTCACACAAAGCAGTAGGTAGTTCCTATTGTCTTTTTGGGTTGAGGGGAGCCCGAAAGTGCTGTGCAGTTGCAAAGAGACCTTCTAAATGTAGACCTAAAATGCAGATGTTTCTGTGGCTAGCACATCGCTTTCTGCAAGGGCATTTCTCCAGCTTCCAGTATATAAAATTAAAGTGTACTGAATGGAAACGAAATTCAATTCAAAGTTAGGGTGATTGCTGAAATTCATAATCAAATACAAAACAAAAATATGAAAAGTATTTTCTTGACGTTAACTCTCTGCCTCTTCCTCACAAACCATATTACTTAGCAGTCAGTTCTCTCTAGTTTCATTGTAGTTATACTGCAATTTCCTTCTGTGCGATTAATGCAGAACTGATGAGCAAATGCATCTTAGATTTGTAAGGTGATCTCTCTACTGCAAAAGAATTATTGTTATTGGAGGGGGAAAAACTTTGGTATTGGTGGTGTAGAGATTACTAGCAGCCTGCCCTAAAAAAAGTGAGGAACATAGGTCTAATTCTCCCTCCCCAAATATTCTTCTGTATGATACTGTATAGAAACTACTAAAGCTAAGAACAAATAGTTATTCTTCAAGCATGATAAAGGTCATGTTGTTATTAAAGTCTTCATGCAAAATAGAGGAATATTAACAGTGACAAAAATGCTTTAAAAGATAGATTATATTTGAAGTCCCGAAGATAAAATCTATTATCCATTCTTCATGACAGTAGTGAAATTGGGGAACCAAGCTAATGCAGGGATTCTTGCCCCCCTTAAACTGCTGTGAATGATCTCGTACCTCAGCAGTCTCTCTCCTCAGAGGAGGAAAGGCTGGGGACCCACTGGCCCAGAAGCCGTCGGGTGGGAGGGGAAGGAGGAGCAGCAGTTGCCTTTGCACCCTGTGGGATGCATTTGGGACTACCAGTGCTTCCTGTTTGTGTGCAGGATTTGCTGTGAGGCAAATGGGGCTTGGGGTGTTCAAATACAGGGATGGTTTAGGACTTGAAAAATAATGACAATCGGATGTTCTTTAAATTAATTTGCCATAAAATAATTTAAGTATGTTAATGATTTTTGTTGAATCTGAAGGGTTGGTTGCCAGCATGTTTAGGTTGAGAAACAAATGCATGCCTAAAGAACATGGTCATTTTTGGGGTCTGTTAGAAAGCGGTGCAATTCCTTGAGGCTCACAGATGCTATCTGCTAGCTGACAGTCTCTTTTCTATTCACAGTAGGTCTTCCAGAGCTTTCATCCTATTATCTTTGCTGACCAAACATTCAGTTTCAATGTAGCAGAAAGAGATGGTTGTTAGGGAAGGTGTTGCATCTCCCTGAGTGTCAAAGGAGCAGTCTGAGATGGCTCTGACATCCCTGCTGCCAGTTCTTCCCTTGAACATAGCTCATCTGTGTGTAGCCAGCACCTTACTCTGCTCTGCTGTGCGTTCTGTGACCAGCTTCTCTGAAGTGTATGCAGGAGCTATATGCTTTGTGTCAGTGTTCAATGCTTTACTGTCTTGTTTTCAATCCTAACTTTAAATGAAAGCTGAAGATGCTTTTAGACTCCTGCAGAAAGGGCTGACTGCCAGGGAATTGATACTATCCTGATTTATGCTTTAGTCCTTGCTTGAAAATGTTCCCTAAAGAGGTAGTAATGATAGCTCTGATTTCCCTCCCCCTCCAGGATATGAAGTACAGTTACTGTAAGCTTTCTTTTTCTTCCTAGTGACTGAAAAGCAACTTGCTGAAAAGATAAAAAACCTTCTCCAAGAAAAAACCGAAATCTTAGAAAAAATGTCGGAATATGATCAAAAGGTATTGTTCTAGGTTCTCATCCTTTGCTTCCTAATTTTCTGTTATTGGTTTAATGATGCAGTCAATGCAACAGCTAATATGTTTTTATTTTCTATTCTTACTGAATATTATGTTGACAGTTTCCTCAGTTCTGTTTGATTGTTTCTGTGCTTAGATAAAGGAAGCAAAGGAATCTGTGAAAGTGGCCCAAGAACAAAAAGACATTCTCTCTGATGAAACTGCAGGGCTTAAGGTAAGAAACAGTTAACTGTGTCTTTACTGAAAGCAAAAACATCAATAAAATAACTTGCTTTAGTGGGTTTTTTACTGTTTTTGGTTTTTTTAGGACACTGTCAAAGGACTGGAAGAAGCAAATCGTCAGCTAGATGACAAAGTAAAAAGTCTGCACACAATGCTTGAAACAGAGAGAAAAAAGAATGAGAAGAAACAGAACAAGGTAAGAGCAATCACACTCATGTTTTATATTGTCCTTAACTTGATGTGCGCTAAAAGCTGGTCACAACCTGATGGAAAAACAGAGAGAGGGAGGTAGAGCAAACAAGATGAACCACCTCAAAAAGAGAACCCAGATGAAATTTCAGGTTCATCCCAGGCTCAAGGGGGAGAATCTGTTGATTGCATGGGGGTTTTTGTTTGCTTGTTTGTTTTGTAAGATCTTGATGGACTCATGTGGTTACGTGCTTTCACACACAAACAGATGTATTCAAGTCATGGGCTAGTCTAATACTTCCTAGCTGGAACGAAGTCTAATACTTCCTAGTTCAGTAACGATATGAGCTGAAGGTTTCAGGTTGGTAAGAGACGTTTTCTTGTACTTAGAGGAAGCATCTAGTTCTGTAGTAAGATTGAAGATCTCTAAGCTGCCCCTTATTCTTTGTTGTCCAGAGGTATTTATGTTTTCTTCTTCCTTTTTTTTTTTTTCTTTTTTTTTTTTCCTTCTTTTTAAAGCCTGATATTCTGTAGTAAGGGTAAGCGCCAACAAGTTCTCGGGTCTTGTTTTGATCAAAGGTTGTTGCTAATGACAGCAGCACGTGTTACTTTCATTCTAGTCTGTGCAGGTGTACAGGGAACTTTCCCAGCCATGAACTGGCAGAGTCACAGGGAGAAGTTGATTCTAATGTGCTGTATGTTTTTATCCCTTACCTTATCAAGGCAGCACCATGTTGCTGCTAGTCAAATGGCTGCTTTAAATAGAAATTTGTTGGTGTTTTGACTTCCTTTTATGCTTCCGAATTACACAGGTAAAATAATTACTCAGGCTAAGGCATGTACTAGGCTAATACAAAGTCACTCCTCATCTTTTTCTTATATAGATCTCTGAAACCCAGAAGTCCTTGGAGAAACTTCAAGAGGCTATCAGTGTGCATTCTGTAGAGCTTTCAGAGGTAAAGCATTATTGACACCCTCTGAACACTCACAAGTTCTTGTACCAGGAGAATTCATATCTAGGATGTAATAGAAAATGTTACCTTGGCAGATTCCAGGTTGTTTCTGCATATATACCTTTTTCTTTTCCATTTTACCAAGTAATACATAACTCTTGCTCCATTACAGTTTGACTTTATGTCTTTTTGTTCCTTTTTGTTTCATATGTAGGTGCAGATAGCCCTTAATGAAGCTAAACTAAGTGAAGAAAAGGTGAAGTCTGAGCTTCATCATGTGCAGGAAGAGAATGCTAGACTGAAAAAGAGCAAGGAGCAAGTACGTTACACTTAGGCTGGGCAACTTTGTCTTTTGAGGAAAACATTGGGGCTTTATTCCTAGTTTTCTTGAGTATAACTTCAGCATGTCTCTGTTTTCTTAACGTGTCAGAATTCTTCATTTCGTATTATCAAGATAAAATTTAAACCCTTGTGCCTGCTTGCACAGGGTTTTTGTGCAGGTGAGCCACATGTCTTCAGTATGAAGGCTTTGCCAGTTCCCGTGATTCAGTTTTTGTCAGGAAAATTCACAGAAGGTCTGTGCTGATGTGGTAGTTGCTGCATGATCGGGAGATTGCTACTTGGGATCAGGACTGGAGGAAGTCATGGTAAAGAATTGCCAAAGAGCAATTCTGAAGCTAAGCTTAATGGGGAGGACCTTTGGCCCTGAGATGTCATGACAGTTCTTTTACAAATAATTGTAAATATCTGTCTGTATTCTTTCTCTGTATATGAAGTAAATGGCCTTCTAAGGAATATAGTTTGATATACCTCTAGAATGCAATTAATTCTTCATATTTTGTAGTGTGTGAGCAGTTTGGTTCTGTTGTTAGGATATTAGCTGAGAAAATGTCAAACTTGTAAAATCACCTAATAATACAAACTGCACAAAGATCCTACAAACTGCACAAAGATCCAGTTCTACCAAGTGGACTAGTGATAAATGTGATAACTGTGAAATTTACCCTTTGTCTGTGGCCTGTGGTGATCAGTTATCACCAGAGCCAGCAGTAAAATACACTTTAATTACATATACCCTATACTAAAAATAAAACAAGTAATGATCTCGCCTTGATGCTTCATACAGCTGTTAAAAGAAGCTGAAGGTTGGAGTGAGAGGCATACTGAGCTCAGCGAGCAGATCAAACTGTATCAGAAATCTCAGAAGGACATAGAAGAAGCACTTGCCTACAAGGAAAACGAAATTGAAGTAGGTTCTTTATAACAAGCTTGCTTTAAATACTGTACATCATAAAATACCTTGAAATACGTTACAAAATGCAGAGCAATTCTTCTTCAGTGAACCTTTGATTTCATTACTAGGTTTTAACTAACTGCATTATGCAGCTGAAGCAGCTCGACATGGATTCGGCATCTGAGGCCAAGAAGGATGGCGAAGGGCGTGAATGGAGCATGGGAGACATGGGAGACAGCCTGGCCAATGGAGAGTTGCCAGGTACAGTAATCCTGCCTGTGCCCCGTGGCTAGAGCACACACAGTGCTATGTTCGTGTCATGTCATACGGGGAGCAGGGGGAGGCCATGCATGTAGCTGCCTGTGGGTTAAGAGACTGCCAGCTGTAATCTTCAAACACAAAATACCTGCTAACTGAAGGGAGAAACTGTTAAAAAGTCCAATAATTGCTTTTATATTACCTTTTAGGTATGCTTTAAGTGTAATGACACAGTTCTAAAAATTGCGTGTAAAGGTTAGCAATTCTGAAAACTGAGAATATCTGCTTTGTTGTTCTGCTATGTTTATTCCTCATGTGAATTTTTAATGAGTATTGTTGCTTACCTCCAGATGGATTAGTACTTTGGGTAATCACATCTTTTAAATCTGAAAGACTGAAATAGGTGTTTTCAGAACTACTCGGGCAGTTTGTCATTCCCGACATTGCACATGTATTTCCTACATCTCTGGCTTTGAAGTCCTCTTCTTTTTTTTTCTTTTCTTTTCCTTTTTTCTGACCGTATGGTATGTGCGGGCTGGAAATTCCCACTTTTTGGTTTTCAGATACTATGTCCAGTAATGGATACTGTGTTCACATTAACATTGGTGTGATGGCTAGAAGAAGTGACAAGAAGGAATCTTCTGAATGCTTTTTGGAGTAAATCTAATAGTTCTGTTGTGCTGGTCATAGAGTTGCGAGTGTGCTTTGTTCCCCACCTCTCCCCCCCGCCCCCCTTTTGTTTTTTTTTTTTGGACTACATAAAGAGACCTATCCCAGATTAAAGTGCAGGGAGTGTGATTTTTGACAGCTGTAGAGTCCAGGGAATTGGAGTTAAGAAACAGGGAAAACAAATATATTTTTCTCTTCTAGATATTGAGAGTGAGAAGATGAAGACTCAGATTAAGCAGATGATGGATGTCTCCAGGGTATGCAGCACAAGATATCTAATAAATGCAGCCACATTACTGTGATACCTAAGATCATAAGCTTTCTGCTCCTCTTTTCAGGTAAAAACTATGTTATCCATAGTTGAAGAAGACAGAAATCTTCTGCAATCCAAACTGAGTGATGAAGTAACAGCAAGACATGAGCTGGAAGGTAGGCCTAGCAAAAGAATTGCTTAGGATGAAATGCTGTATGTGGTTTAAAAAGAAACAGAGCGTTTAAGTGGCATAACGGTTCTCATTGCAACTTCCTTCAACTTGCTCGCCTACCTTTGCTTCTCCAACAGAGCAGATAAAAAAATTAGAACATGACTCCTGTTCGCTCCAGTCAGCCAAAGCTCGACTGGAAAACGAATGCAAAACACTACAGCAGAAAGTGGAGATTCTTGGTGAACTTTACCAGCAGAAGGAGATGGCGCTCCAGAAGTAAGCCTTTTGTTACTCTCCTGCAACATAGTGTGTTATATCGTAGGCACTATCCAAATGCTCTTTGCTTAGAAGGATCAAATAACTTGAAGTTGTATTTGGAATGAAAAGCTATGAATACTTTTTCAATATGGTTCAAGCTAGTACCCCTTTTTTACTTCCTCCACCATTCCAGAGATTCTAAAAAGACACTCACTTTGCACACACAATATTGCCTTCTACTGTTAAACAAATGAGCAACTTATGGACAGGGGAGATGGGTGGCTTGGTCTGCAAATTTCTGTGGTTGCTCTGTCACATTCTCCAGAAACATCAAGGAGAATATAGTGGCCATTAAGATTTGTTTTGGTTACTCTGACCTCAGTTCAGTGAGTCTAATTCTCGTAATACTAGTTGTGTATCTGTTCATTCCTCATTTGTTCATTTATTTACTTACTGGAATGTCTGTAATACTATCTCAATTTTGTGGGGAAAATTTGAGATAGAATTCAGGGTCATTTTCAGCTAAATTCTGTAGGAAAGCTGAAATTGTGGTGGAGAAGCAACTGAAAGTTCTAAGATCCAGGTGTGTAGGTTGGGGGAAGCACAGGGTTGGAACAAGCTAAGGAATTGAGGCTGGACAGCACCTCAGTAGTGAAACTGCCTGACCTCCTAACTTCAGGATCCAGGTGTGGTGAACACATAATGGAGAGGTGAAGGATAGCCCACCTTTCAAGGAAAACTTCCTCTTGACCTCACTGAAGAATTTCTATTCCTTCCAAAACTTTTAGGAAGTTACAATGCCTGTTACTACTTCTTGATTAGAATGAAGGACTTCCTTCAGTTTTTTTCCAGAAAACTGTTTCCACATGTAGCCAAGGAAATGAATTGTGTTGAACTGGCTATTAGCCATTGTTAACTTACTGCTAGTTTAGTGGTTTCAGTTTCGTGGGATAGCTCTTGTAAATTAGGAACACATTATGGACCTCTCAAATACTTCAGAAAAATGTCAAAAATGAAAAAACTAGTGAGCCATGAGGTTATAAAACGACTGTGAGAGTTGGTCATGTAATAAATTGGTACAGAGAAAACTTAGGAAAAAAACAAACCACCTTTCAACACCGTTGCTGACTATTTGAATGTGTTTGTCACCTGGGCCCGAAATTCCCCCTTTTTCACTACACGTTCATTTCTTCATTTCCCTTGGTTAGATCTCAGTTCTGCATATTTCCTTGTTCATACCTTTGTAAATCTGGGTTACCATCTGTAGAATTGGTAAGTAAACTACGGGATATGAAGAGATGAACTGTCTGCAGTTGTTAGATTCTGACAAATCTTTAGATGCTGAAAGAACTTTCCAGTCAACTCTGCGTCCTTAATTTTCAGGTTTTATACACAAAAGGTTTGTCTGTTGGTTTCAAAAGACAGTATTTTTGTCTCTCTTAAAAAAACAAAACCACCACCTCTTTATTCTCTCTCTGTATTCTCATGCATTAATATAGATTGTGATATCACTGTTGTTAGCAGAATACCACCTTGATTTTGAGTTGTAGTAGATGTAGGATGGTGGAATACATGATGCGCTTTTTTTTTTTTTTTCCTCCCCCTATGCAGAAAACTAACCCAGGAAGAGTATGAGCGACAGGAGAAAGAGCAGAAATTGTCTGCTGCAGATGAAAAAGCCGTGCTGGCCATTGAGGAAGTGAAAGTTTACAAGTAACTTCAGTTTCTGAAGGCTGTTGTTTTCCTTCATTTCAGCTATTGAAGAAAATTCATGTAAACCTCTCTCCTTCCCCTCTTTTTCCTATTGTACAGGCAAAGGATCCAAGATATGGAAGAAGAATTGCAAAAAACAGAGAGATCTTACAAAAACCAGGTGAATTTCTTGCTTGCTGGTTATTGTGTCACATTTTACTGCATCATTCCAATCCTCTGTAGTGAGTTATTGGAAATACCAGTAGTTGGACAGAATAAACTAAAATGCTGCTTTTCTTCTCAGATTGCTGCTCATGAGAAAAAGGCACATGACAATTGGGTAAGAATGTTCTTCCTCTTCTGATGCAAACAGTTTGTATGTGACTTCAGGTTGGTGCAGTTAACGCAGTTGGCAAAATTTTTCCCTACTCTAGCTTATTGCCCGCTCTGCTGAGAGAGCTCTGGCTGAAGAAAAAAGAGAAGCAGCCAACCTAAGACAAAAGTAAGTCCAGTACAGACCATTTTTATTGCTCTTTGAACATGCTGCGTGTTGCTTGGGAGAGAAGGAGCTCAAACAATGCAGGGTGCTCAGTTACCCTGCTTGCTCAGAATGTGCAGGGTGTATTTAAGTTACTAATTGTAACTTACTATTAAATTGTTCTGATGGTTAAAACCAGATTTCTCAGTGAAAGCTGTAACATTTTACAATGCAGTTTGCCTTGTTACATTATAACAAGTATGAGTTGTGTATTATTTGAATACTAAAACAACCTTTATTTTTTAAAATTAGATTAATAGAAGTAAACCAAAAAATTGTCATGCTTCAAAGACCATTAATTGTAAAGCCAACTCCAGGCAGACCCGATCGCCAAGTCCCACCGCGACGAGGTAAATGCTGCTGTTTCTCCCAAAACTTTGGTCTTTGAGTCAGTATATCCTAAAAAAATAAGGCTGTGATAAATAGTAAAGAAGTAAATCAAGTGTTTTTAATTCTTTGGCATAGGGCCCTTAAGCAGAGATGGCTCTTTTGGCCCATCACCTGTGAGTGGAGGAAATCCATCACCCACACAGATGATAGAAGCTCCTGCTCGGCCCCTTTCTGCTCCTCGAAGGGAAGGCTCAAGAGGTGAATTTGGTAAGCAGCGAAGTTTCCCTTCTATGATAACTGTCTCTTATGCTACAAACCCAAGAACACTAAGGTCTGATCTTGGTTCTAGGGATAGTGTTAAGTATTGATAACAGCTTTGTTAATACACAGACGAGTAGGTGGTTTGGTTGGTTTGTTTCTGTTGTGTTTTTTTGGGGGGGTTTGGTTTGGTTTTGTTTTAAAGAGAGAGCACTCAGGCAGGTGTTGATTAGGATCTCTGGGGTTCTTGTTTCCCTTAAGGTACAGTGGTAGATGGCCCCCCTGCTCCACGAAGGCCACCAGAGTTACCTGGAAGGATGTCTGTTCCTGGTAAGTTTGGGCTTGCAACCAACTGCAGCTTACTCAGTTATTGTTTCGCTTCAGAAATGTAATTTAAACCCCATGTTCCTTACCCCAGGCATGGTAAGACATGCATTCGTGGCTCTCTTTACAGATCTTGGGCCTGCTGTAGCGTCCCTGATCGGTAGTGGGCCAAGAACCTCCTCCCCTTCCACAGCAATGGATGGAGTGGTAAGCTGAAAAACCCCAACCTTCAGGAAGCGTTTCTGATACACGATTCACTGTACTTCCTGCTGCTTCTTTAACTGTATCATGTTCTGTCTTGTCTATATCCTGTCACTATCCTTATTTGCTGTCCAAAAAAAAAAAAAAAAGCAACCCTCTCCCAAAGAGCCTGAAGCCCCCTGTGTAACTGCTGATTCACCTTCATCTGTTGAACCAGCTACAGTGAGTATTCAGAGGCTGGAGGTGGTGTTACTCTGCTTTGATGGAGAGGAATAACAGGCTTGCTGTTCTGAACTGCTCAGTAACAAAATGCTCTGCAAAACTAACCAAGGGCTTACACCTCTGTCTCAAAAGGTTTCTCTAATGATGAACAGTTGCTGTCTGGTTTTTATGGAATTGAGGAAATGAGATCTTTCTTGTTAAGGACTGCAGGCAAACACTTTGGAGTGACTACAACAATAATCCTCAGAAGCTGACTTACCTGTGGTATTTAAGCACAATTCCATGTGTAATCTGAGGTGCCAGGCCCTTTACCGAAGGGCTGTCCACCCAGGACACTTCAAAAGGGATGGAACTTTTGTTTAGTACAGCTTTAGCTAAAGAAAACTTGTCATCTCAGAAGGTGCACTAAGCACTCACTCCCAGGTAGCGCAGCAGTGTTCTGGTGAAGGAAAGTTACTGTGCCATCATTGTCCCCTATTTGCTACTTGGTTCCTGTGCTTTGGGGTGTGTGGTTTTTGGTTTGGGTGGGTTTTTGGTTTGGGTTTGTTTGGTTGGTTTTTTTTTCCCTCTCTTCCACCTCTTGGCCTTTGGGTGAGTGGGTGTGGTGTTCAGCCGTGTCAATACTTCTCTGATGCAGTGAGTAACCCACTGAAGTATGACCTCATCTTGCACAGGCTAATGCTAGTCCCAAAGGCCCACCTTCTTTCCCTGGGACACCCATCATGACCTCCCCAGTGATGGGACCTCCGCCTCCACCACCTGTTCGCTACGGACCGCCGCCAGCTCCTCTCCGTGGGCACTTTGGGCCTCGACCTCTTCCTGTGCCCCTAGGTACAGTTGCATCGCCCTGTGCTGGAACTTAAACTTTTCTCATGGTGCTTCCCCGAAGCCTGCTGCAGAACTGCGATCTGCCATCCATGAGCACGCAGCCTCCCCACGCTGCGTGGGGTGTAGCTGCCTCGCTCAGTAAGCTTGGGGAGGGTGGGGTTTTTCAAGCCTCCTTTAACACCAAGGTGGTGTCACCATCCCTGGAGGTGTTTAAGAAGAGATTGGATGTGGCACTTAGTGCCATGGTGGTGTTTGTTAGGGCAAAGGTTGGACTCTGATCCCAGAGGTCTCTTCCAACCAAACCGATTCTGTCATTCTGTAAGGAGGCATTTTTTCCTTGTTTAGTCTAAAATGGAAACCAGCAGGCAAAACTCAATAGAATAGAATTCATGGCCTGTGAAGTCTGTATGCGACACTGACCCACCCTAGAGGTGCTCCAAAAAATGAAGAAATGAGGAATGAGTTAGGAGCTTCACTGTTGAGGTTAAAGCAGGATTTCATTTAACTCCCTGTTTTCCTTCCCTTCCAGTTCGTGGTGCTCCCTTGCCACCTCCAGCTGCGAGAGATTTCTTACCCGGCCCACCCTTGGGAATGCGAGACCTGCCTCCTGGCCCATTTCCACCACCTCCAGACCCAAGAGGCTATGGACGTGGGCACCCTCCATTTCGACCCCTAGGTCCGCCTGGCCCAAGAGATTATCCGCCAGCCCCACGGCTACCCCCGCCTGGTTCGAGAGACTATACGCCCTCTCCTAGCAGGGACTTGCCTCCCTCGGGACCCAGGGACTACCCCGCAGGCCCCCCGCCGCCAGTAGCCCCCAAGGACTACACACAGCCTCCAGCCCAGAAACCCTAACTGCAGCCTTCCCGCAGCAGCTCAACGGAATGGACTCCAGCGCACTTCCTGTTTGAAGCCATTTGTCTCATTTCAGTATATTTCAGCTTTTGCGGGATTAATTTTTATCCAATTGCTACAGACATCTTATGTGCATTTATGATCACCTTAAACTCATCCATCCTCTTGGGCTGCAAGAACCTTTTTGTGATGGACTTGAACCTACTCTAAACGTGCAATAGAAAGGAAGTACCTGTGTGGCTAGTTTTAATTAAATGTAGCCTCTGTAACCAGTTGGTGAATGAACTAATTTCGTGAAAAATGTAAATCAAATCATTTCCTGTGGAAATAATTTTTAAGTAAAATGCTATCCTACCTGCCTTTGCCATCACATCATTCAGCTGCAGTTATTGTAGGCCAGGGGTTTACATGAGGACTGTGAGGTGGTTTTTGGTTTTGTTTTGTTTTTTTTTAAAAGATGTCTGGTCAGAGATCAGAAGCACAAATGACACTGTATTCAAAGGAAAGTTCTAATAAAAAGCAAAATTCCTTTTGCTAAATCCTGAAGGCTTTGTTTCAGTGCCATTTTTTGTTCAGAAAGGACATTGGTTCGGTAATTTAACCAGAGAATGCTACAGCCATGACCACGTTTTGATGACCATGAATTGAATCAAGGCTGAATAACTGCTGCCGCTGCAAGCCTAACAGTGGCATTACCCTTATGCTGAACTAGCCTGGCGTGTCGTGGACTTGCTTCACGTAGTAATGAGGACAACAGGGGACCTGACGGGCAGCACAGGGCTGGAAACCTTTCTGAAGCTGTGTAGTTAGGCTGGAGATGCAGGTGAACGCTCCAGGATTCTAGAAACTAAGACATTTCATAATCACTTAAACTTTCAAGACTGGCTTGCAGCATTAAGCAAAGTTTGACAGCTGAGTTTTCATCTTAGTCAGTATTTAAGACCAATTCAGCTTCCTTAGCAATAAGGCTGTATTTCTACAGCCTTTTTCACTTACATTAATTATGGAAAATAACTTTTTAAAGCAGAGTGGGTGTATGCAAACCATATTAAACCTGTATTCCTACGTATTCAACCTGATTTAAAAAACACTGGAGAACTTTAAAAACACCCCCTATGCTTGTAGATGTTGAAGGCAGTCCCTGAGTGTAAGTGTTTGTTAGTACAAGGGTGAGTATGGAGTATTCGGCACAGCAGGCCACTTACTGATCTGGGCACGATGGGTTGTCAGAAGTGCTCTGTACAAAAGTAAGCCTTGGGGAAGAGGAAAAAAAAAGGGAAAACAACTAGGAATAATAAAAAACCCTACTGAAAGGCCATTACAGCTTTACTGCCAGGGTACAAGCAGCCATTAAACTTGCCATCTAGGTGTTACATTCTTACAGTACAAGTATTAAGTTTTAGATTTAAGATGAAAGACAAGATAAAACATTGCTAAAGCATAGAACAATACAAGAGCTTGTGGTGTGGGCAGTAGTAGTCCTTTCAGTGAAAGACAGTTCACAGAAACAATGCAAAGGATAGAAGCAACTTTAAAAATGGTATTTCACACTCTACAGACATTAATTCACAATTAGTTAAATACAAAGCTCTACTTGTGTATTTAACAAAAATACTTCAAAGTTGACATTTCATATAACTGGAGTTAATACAGACATCTACACGCTGGAGAAAAGTCAAAAAGTAAGCCGCTGAAACAAGGGGTTTGTAATTGAGGCAAAAGTGTTCCATTTGCCTGGTGGCTAACGACACGCACATTGACAAACATTTGCGTTTGAGAGTCGAGTTCTCCAAGCTCAGGCTCTTTCCTTCCCCAACACGGAGCTTTGCGATGGTGAGCATCTCCTCCCTCGCCCACCCCAGCGAGCCTGAACCCCCTAAAGCAGGATGGCATTGCCCACTGGGAGCAGCAGGAGGAGGGCACAGGGGGACACCCAGCCGCAGAACGGACCCTCACCCCTACAGCTCCCTGGGAGGGCAGGGAGAGCTGAGCCAGGCCGGGACTACAGCTGTTGACCAAGCTCAGAGCTACTTGCGCCATAGACTAATGTTGCACTCCATCCTTCTGCAGCTGAAAGGAGGATTTTTATTTATTTTTTAAAAATGCATGGATCCTCCTTTTGTCCGGCAGCCAGAACGCTGCATTCAGAGGTATTTCTGTAACTCGTAGGGCTATTTTTTCAGGGCCTGATATTCAATGTAATACCATTGGGGTATTGTAAAGACCCGTAAACAGGAAAATTCAATTGCACTTTTTTCTTCCACCCCCCACCCCCAACCAGTAGTGGAATTTGAGGAAGTGTTCCTGACTTTTGTCATAATGACATCATCCCTAGTTATACCAGAACAGAGGGAAGGCAAGAAGATCAGGACATTCAAAAACAGCTTTTTATCCTAATCAATATGGTAAAGCCAAAAATGCTGAACACCTGCCTGTAGACAGACAAATATCATGAGGAAAAGTAACATCCCTTCCATTAAAGCATAATGTAGCGTCTTGGGGTTACGTGACAGAAAAGAGGAATTGGTGATACATCTGCATCCAGACTGTTTAAAATAAACCTAATAACTGACACAATTTTGGGAGCTGGGTCTTTTGTTAGCATAGCAGAGTATTTAGGCACTAGTTAGATACGCAAGAAATATATCAAACCTTAAAGTATTGTATTAAATATCCACACAAATATATGAAAGATTTGATGGGGTTCTACTTCTGTCCCTTTATTAGGTCAAAAGGTGAATGCAAGTGTGTCATAATAAGCCAATGTCCTGCAGCTTATTACACACCAAATCAAAAATATAGAAAATAAATGATAATCCTATCTACTTACATAAAAAGGTAATTTTTAGAGTAAGTTTCCAGGCTTGCACAAAACATGCAGAAAACTGCATACAATCAGTTTCCGTAAGAACAGCAGTTTCATGTAAAAGGTGGGTCAAGCTGGTAGCCAGATCTGCTTTACCAACAGCTCTGGAAAACTGACACCTGCACACCGAGGGGCCTGTCCTGCTCTCACTGAAATGGCGAGACGCCCACCACCACGAGGATGAAGCCCTGGAGAAAGCCTCTCTGCACCCCCCACCCACCTTTGCAGATCGCTCCGTGACAAGATACAGAAAAAATAGCTCTATTTGGGAGTAACGGCCATTTAAAGGATTGTAACGTGTAATATATCCAAAACTCGGTAGGAGTGGATCAGGCAAGGCTGTTAAAATCATAGTTCAGCGTTCTCATCTGCAGTTGTCCTCCTCCCGGCCCCACCAAAGCAGAACAGCCGACTGAGGAGCTCTTCTGTGGCCACTCCACTTGACCCAGCATCCTCCTCTCCCTCACTTTCAATCACTTGCAGTACCTTGCAGAAGCTCCTTCCCACCCCACCTCATCTTTCTCCCGCTCTTCTGCTGCCCAGCCTGCTACAGAGGACTCCGAAATGCAGATGAGAGGAACTACAACAGCACAGCAAGTGTAAACAGTGAGTAGGCCTGCCACATCTTTATTGCTGCAGGTTTGGCAAAGGGGCAGTCTCCATCCTTGGGTGGAGTTTGAGGCAAAAGGATAATAACGGTTAAGATAAAAAGTGATAAACAGCAAAATTAGGAAAAGCAGTCAACATATTTCAGGGCTCTCAGAAAAACCTGTATCTGGAAGGTACTGAAAAAAACCTTGCACTTGCATGGTAGGCTTGCCTCTGACCCTGAAGCAGCGCTGTGCAGCATGGGATGGTCCCGTCTGACCCACTGGCATGAATACAGTCGTTCTCCTGCCCCGCGAAGGCTACGGCTACTACACACAGCTACCATGACTTGTGGTTCAGTTCACAGAAGACTCACAACGAGGGTCATTCCTTGTGCAATGTTTGATGGAGGTGAAGGTAAAGTGGTTTCTTGGTCAACAGTTGCAATTTCTTCCTTTTAAAGTCAGTGGGTTTTTTGTACCTGTAACCACAAGAAAGGAAGTTAATCCAGGTGCTAATGGCTGCGTAGGAAGATGAAAGCACACTAGGGAGCTTGTCCTGTACAGATCTTACTGCTGTAACCTTTTAAATACATCTGACAAGACTTACTGGAAGCAACAATAATGAGTAGATTTACAGGAAGAAACTCAAACCAGTAGTTTCTCTGGATTATTATTTTAACCAAACAGAGATTTCAATTTCTAAATGAGCGTAAGGTTTTTGTGAGGAGAACTCCCAATATAGTACTCTGGATGGTAGCAGATGCAGTATCAGTTACTCAGTACTTCAGAAGTACTCCAGCTAGCACAGACTGAGCACTCTTCCTAGAGATGCCCAGAATTGCAAGGTTCACCCTCTTCCTGAAAAAGATCCCTCTGAAACCTCACTCAGACCTTCAGCCACACCATAAGGGTAGGATGCACATCCTAACCACTGTGGCATAACTGCCTGATCTATTTCTTTATATACTCAGAGTGGGGAAAAACCACAACCACTCAATAATGCTTTGCAATGTTCATAAAATTCAATTTCAAATCAGTATCTCATGTCTCAAATCAGATTCCCTTTACAGAACTTCTGTACCAAAAGACCATGTGAGTTGTTTTGGGTTTGTTTTTTTTTTTTTAAATATAGCTGATCTCACACTCAAGCTAAGGTCAAAATTAAAACCTCCCATGCAGAATTTGTTAGCTTCATACAAAATTTAATTACAAACACCAGCATTTTATTTGGAAATAGTCTAGTTTTTGAGAAGGGTCTCTAGCCATTTTATTTGCCTAAAAGCATTTTATCTTCCCTTCTTTATTAAAAATAGAATGTTCCTTGTGGAAGTCAATCTAATAAGTCCAAGAAACCTTCTTTGATGCAACAAGCCACACACTGTAACTGAAGTCTAGTTCATTTCCTCTGTCATTGGCATCTATAATTGCAAGTCACTTACAGTTCTATAACAATTGCCCCAGGTTTAATTTCATCCATCTCCATGAAAGCAAAGCACTTGGTGCTAGTAAACCTTTTCTTAGGCTTGTAGTGTTTGAATTCAAAG